ACAAACGTGTAAACCTACGTTTATTCGAACGAGTTCGCGAACCAGCATGATCGGACCATGGGAACGGGGGTTTATGGGGGCTTTTATGGGGTAAAAATGGGGTTTTCCCATTTTTGACCCAAAAAACATAAAATTTTGCAATTTCTTTTGAAACTATTTTGTAGAGCTTAAAAAAACAAATAATTTTGTATATTGAAGCGTTATAATGCGCCTAATGGTTACGGAGAAAATTCCAAAAAATTGTAAATTTAAAATTCCCATGTTATTCTTATGGAGAATAAGTAAACTGTTGTAGTTTGCTTGTTTATAAACATATTTTGCCCAAATTTGGAAAATGTTTTTATTTCTTACTAACTATTAACATTTTACATAAAAAAACACTTTTACCCTCCCTGTTGCAGCAAACCTAAGTATGTTTTAAACTGATTCTATTTAAATAGGGAATAAATGTGATATTTTTAAGGAGACATTTTAGTGTAAATCCATTTAGGGAAATGGAAATTCGCTTAGTCTGCAGGTTTGCTGCGGCGGGGGTATTTTGTGTGTGTAGCAGCTCAGTAGAACTGTTTGTATTTCAAATATCAACCATGAGACTTAATTCCTATAAATGTTATCATTTTTCAAAAACTGAAATTTTTTGAAAAATTCAAATTTTGAGTCTCAATATCTTTGTTGGGACAAAGTTTAAAAATCTGAAATTTTTACCAAAAACCCCTCTTATGTTATTTTTTGTTGTTATACTGCTGTATGAATTTCATCTTTGAGATTTACTTTTAAGCTAAGTTACAGTATCATGAAAATCACAAAAACCCATAAGCTCGGCCAACGTGACTAGTACTTACTGTAGGTAGCTTAAAGATTAATTTATAGGTGTAGGTAATTATTTTATTTAATGTAAACTTATCTTAGTGTACATTTAAAAAATCCAAAACAGATTTTTAACTTAAACTTTGTACCCAAAGTACAAATTAGGCCTATATGTACCGCTACGGTACTAAAAATAAATAAAATCCTGCTAAATTTTAAGTTTTATTCGTCATTTAACTTAAATAAAACTTAGTTAATTCTATTTATATTGAGGTCTTAAAATTTATTTTCCATTTAGATTTAATGTACCGTTAACCTGTATAACACAAATCAATAAAGTGTTTATTGTGGTATTTTGAAAAAGAATAACTCATATTCTGTGGGAACTGATACAGTCTCCAGTACCGGTACCTACAGGAAGTCGTAAATGAGTCACAAAACACAGTTTTTCTTAACAAAATAATTCATTTTTATAACAGATGAAGAAATCACTCAACACCACAACAACAAACTCCTGGACCGATTTGAGAACTGTTTAAAGATTACTGGAACAAGAAGCTTCCATTGTGTTATTCCTGTACCGGACAGTAGTAATGTTAGGTGCTTCGTAACCTCACTAGCAACTGAAAGCTGTAAAAATTACACTTCATACCGAAGACTCTATTGCATTTGTGTATGACAGTGGTGGGTGGCAGAGGTGATTGACATCAGTAAATCAAAATAAAGATCCAGCAGGACCAACAACCAACCGCCTTTAAAACAAATTAGAAAGACCAAGCTTGGGTGCCTATAAACAAAGTTTTGAGAAAGTTAAATCTCTTTTAGCTGACAAAAACCACTGGAAGGACAAACCCAAACTGAATGAAGAAACATCCAAACTTCCTAAGCATGATCAAAGTAGAACAAAAAACATTAACAAGTAAAAAAAGTTGTATACTTTAAGAACTTGTCTTTCAAATAGCTTTTGTATGTGTAATTTCTAATAGGTATTCTTTATTAAAATGAAAGTGGTTCAATAAATTAATAAATGAGTTCAAAATATTTACTTAGGAGTATTGAAAAAAAGGTGTAAACCTGAATGAAAATAATCTAATAAAAAGTTTTTTTAATTTCACATAAGACAAGAAATTTGCAAGAAAAGGCTATACATCACTTTAAAGTAAGTTAGGTAAGTTAACATTAAATAAAATAATTACCTACACCTATAAATTAATTTTTAAGCTACCTACAGTACTAGCCGCGTTGGCTGAGCTTATGGGGTTTTTGCGATTTTCATGATACTGTAACTTAGCTTAAAAACCATGTAAATGCCATGTAAATCTCAAAGATGAAATTCATACAGCAGTATAACAACAAAAAATAACATAAGAGGGGTTTTTGGTAAAAATTTCAGATTTTTAAACTTTGTCCCAACAAAGATACTAAGACTCAAAATTTGAATTTTTCAAAAAGTTTCAGTTTTTGAAAAATGATAACTTTTAAAGGAATTAAGTCTCATGGTTGATATTTGAAATACAAACAGTTCTACTGAGTTGCTACACACACAAAAAAATCAAGTCTGAGATTTTATTTGTTCCAATGGTAATATGCCTTCAAAAGTTGAAATTTTTCCGTTTTCTTATAAAATGTTGAGATGGGTTTAAAACTGTTTTTGATACACATTTCAATAAATATGTACAGAACATAATATTTAGGCTGTTTCTTCCAGATTAAAATGCTTTTTGTTTCATCACTCTAGTGTTCATGGTTCCCGAGTTGTGCAAGTTAACGCAAACCCTTACATGAGCAAAAATTTGCGTGTTCCGCAAAACAAAATAGCCGCCGTAGGAGTAACAAAATAGATAAAAAAAATTTTAAAATCACTTTTGAACCCAGAATTGATAAAGGTATCTAGGATAAAAATATTATTTATTTTAAAAATGGTCAAGCAACCCCTGTTGGATCACTTGATATGGATAGACCCTTTAGTAATAGTTTTATATTGACGCCATTTATGTATACATATTGTATATAAAAATGAATAAAGATGATTTTGATTTGATTTGACGTGGTAATACGGCAGTGTAAACACCGCTTCGTGTTCATACGGATTGCACATGCAACTGCGATAAATAGAATGAAATTATAAAATATAAAAGGCCTATTTCTTATGTACAGTACCACAGTACATCATAGGAGTTATTGTTACTATGTTAACTGTTTTCTCTTCTTTTGGAGGAATTATAGGATATGAAGAATCCTTTTGGAGGAACCTTTAAATTGTATCAAAATCGTATTAGTGGATCTTTTGTAGTAAACACTTCCGCGATTTCATCAGTGTATGCAGTTATCTATGCTTTTTTAAAGAAAAAAATATGTTAGTTGAGAAGGCAGGTTCTTAATTCAAACGGAGGCCCACCCTAAAGCTGTGTAAGTTTTATTTTTTCCTTCGTCACGTCAGTCATCATACCGTACATCTGTGCAAATGAATAACCCTCTAGCATAATTTTGATAAATTGGTCGCTGGATTACTGTTAAATCTGAAATTGCATGACATGCGGATGTCAATTGTCTCAGCCTTTTCAAAATTACAAAAATTGTTCAATAATCTCTCTTTGGAATTTTAGGTGTAGTGGAATATACTTGTAGTGAACAAGGCTTTTATTCTTGAACTGTTCATCGTTTATATGTTTGTGCGGCTTCATTGGCAACAAATAATGCAAATAACTAAGCAATGCTGCATTTCCAAAAAGCAAATATATCCTACTGTCTGTTATGTGAATAGCGAGGCTTACATTGTTGTTAATCAACGAATCTTATTAAGGATGATGAGATCTAGTTCAAAGGAAAAATGACCTTCCCTATGACAGCAGCTGCCTAAATGGTAATTAGCATTCTCTTAGTGCCAATTTTTTTACAGTCAAAGTGCAGTGTTATTTTCAAAAATCTCACTTAAGAGCAAGTTAAGTGGAACACAGGGTTCGTAATAGGCCACTGCAAATCATCTGTCAAGATAGGCCTATATTATTATTATTAGATATATATTGGTATTATTTTGGGTAAGGTTTCTGTGTTTGACACGATTTGAGCACAATGAACTTATTCTGCAGATGAATAATCCGTTGTTTAAGAGAAATATACGCCGAATTAATTAATTTCACAATCCAAGCGCATTAAAATGGCTCTGGCCTGAACTTTTTTGTAGTATATAGGCCTAGAGTTTGAGCATTTTTTATGTTACCGTACCTACTATCTGGGTAAGTTGCATAGTATTTTTTAGGCTGCTGCTCGGTGCACTTTGAGACATTTTTTAGAGATAAATGAAATTGTTTTTGTTGCTGAGTAGCGCTAGTAAACATGCACCTAGCCCTTTTCGTTAGTTCAATAACATTCAAGGGCTCTACAGCCTATTATTTTTCACTAAGCTGAATGAATACAAAGAAGTAACCTCTCTGAAAAGTTTGTCATAAATTTCAATTACCTATCCAGATTCCAGCCAAGAATCTTAGGGTCAATCTAGAAACCTAGCAGCTTCACAGCATTGTAGGTACTGTTCTAGCATGTTGTCTCCTTCTGCCCTCAATTACATAATGCTCCTTCTCCTATTGTTCAAGGGGGTAGGTATAGTCAGAAAACAATAAAGGGTTGTCCATTTATGTGCAGATCGTTGTTTATTATGCTGAACTTAGAGGTCAGGTCCGACCACCGATCCTTGGGGCAGCCCGTGGGGGATAATCTGCACTCTTGAAGAGGTTCGTCCAGCGACACTAATCTGCCAAGTAGCTACTCAAGGTGTTCAACACTGTGCCTCCGATACTGTACTTCTTAAGCTTGGCCTACAGAATGTCATGTGAAACCACGTCATAGGCCTTGCTCAGGTCGCAAGTCTCAAAAGACCAACTTGTTAGCATTGACAAGATTCAAGAGAGAAGAGGATGTTGAGCGGCCACTCCTGAGAGCAGAGCATTGAGAATAGGACTAGGCCTATCGTTGTTTTCGAAATATGCCGACAATTGTCTCTTCATTATGGTCTTCAGCAATAGTAACCATCTTGTTCTTATGGTTTAACCTTACATTGATACTGACATTGATTACGTAATGAAGAAGCTAGCTAAACTAAAAGGTTAACTTATTTGCCATACTCAAGTAACTTACTATTAAACTTAGACCTACCTAACTTAGCTTAAGTTTAGGTACATTTTGGAAATAAATACCTGTAATGTTGTTAAATGCCTCTCGTTGAATTTGTCTTCCACATATCGTAACACAACAGACGTTTTACCAACACACCCCTCTCCCAATAACACTACCTTGAAACTATAGTTATTTCCTCCTCCATTTGGTGGAGTATTAGCCATTGTGCGTTCCTCAAACTAGAGGATATCAATAATTCTCAACCTACGAAGAAAGGTTAGAGTAATGGGATTAGTTAACTAAAAGTTATACAACATACTTCAAAGCAGATAACATTTAATTACATTAAGTGTTTACATTTTGTTCACGGAATCAAACTCTAGCAACTTAGGGTAGGGGTTGGGAAGGGAACCGTTCGTAAACCTGCTGACTGCACTGATTACTGAATCTTTCACCAGAGAGAGAGTCAAAGACAGTGGGAGTGGAGTAAAGTGAACTGGGTTGAAAAATGAAAACATAAGTCAGCTGGGTGGGTTCCATAATATCGACAACCGTAGAAATTGATCGAAACTGAATTATTCCCAGTTTGTCGACACTGGAATATTCCCACTTAACCGACATCCCAAATAACCGACGCCGCAAATGATCGACACCACAAATTGTCGACATCCCATATTGTCGACAATGAAATAGTTTCACTATGTCGACACTGAAATAGTCCCAGTATATCGACAAGCTCCCGTTCTTCGGAGCTACTCTTGAAAAGGAGTTGTTCTAATTTATCGTTCAGTTCCTCAACTCACGAGTCGCAATATTTGATTCCGAATTCCGACGGACATCTACAAGCTGGCCATTTATGGACTAAAACTGTTATATTGTAAATATTTATCTTTTTTATTTCTTTCCTTGTTTACAAGAAAATAGATGACTCGAGTGTTACAAACAATAGTTTTTAAGGAATAATGTGAAATAATTTTTATAGGATAAAAAACTTAAAAACATTACCAGGCACTAACTTAGGTAAGTCACCAACAAGAAGGTAAGAGGTAAGATACCAACAAGAACCTAAGATACAGCTTGTTCGTAGGCTAATTCTGGATCATAGAGCAATATTATTGCAAATGTTTGAATAGGCAAATCCCTAGGCTATTAGGATTGTCTTCTTATCCCCACTGACCCAGTGTCAACTTTGAGAATTTGTTTATGTAAAAATATTTGGCTGCACTTTAGTTTAGGCTATGTCCTACATTCATTCAAATGAAAGATATTAAATACATAGACTATTTAGTATTTTGAATATTGCATTCCTTGAGTTAGGTTAGGTTTTACCCTAATCAACCAAACTTGATATAGGCTTAGGCCTAAGTTTATCGAATTAAATAATCAATATGACTGGGACGTGTGGCGTCGTCCTGTAATCCAGCTACTAAGTTAGGAGGTCACGAATTGTGGATATTTATAGGCATGCACTGTGTATTCGATACTACCTGGTGTGGATTAACGTCCGCACGAGTGAGTACTTAAGTTACTACGACTCTCCGCAGTACTATCCTGATAATTAGACCAATTCGTATAAGTTAGGCCTATACCAAGGCAATAATGTGGTTCGGATTCCACTATAAACTGTAGGTCCCTTAGTTGCCATTAGCTGTATGGGCTATTAATTGACAGCTGTGTCTAAGGAATGTCGGTCTTTTAGTCACTAACAAGACTACAAGATCGTGCCACTCATCCTACACTCATCTCCATTCATACTTGGCTTAAAATACCTACTTTGTATGGTCGCCAAGTAATAAGAAAGAATGTATTAAAGAAATATATTCATTGGAATGAGTCTAGGATGTAAACTTAAGTGCTGTAAAATATTCTAGAGAGGTTTGTATTTGGTGTAAGACTACTGTCGGGGAAAAAAGTTTAGACACTCGAGTTTGGAGCTCTACAGAAAAGTAACCAACTAACTTAGAAAAACACGTAGTATATATAAATTTTCGTTGTTTTATTCTACACATTCCTGTGAAAACAAAAAATTTTTAGCTCTTTTAGGAAATTTTTCATGACAGTCGGAAGGTAAAAACTGCCTGTTTTTAGAGTACCAAAAACCATCTTATGACTTTGAAAATTCGCACAATGTAAACTAAGTTAAACGGCAAAACTTTATCAAACTTTAATACAATATGGACACATATATAATGAATAAATTTGTTTAGTTTCAGAATTTTTACTCTACCCAAAAAGTTTTTGTTGTAACTTTTGTAAATTAACTTTTTCTCAAAAACGGCAAACGCTAGAAACAAATTTAAAAGCTTGTTTTGGAGGTGATTGGTTTTGTATTAGAAATATTGATACTTAAGTCAGTCATTCACAGTTTTCAAAATGAAGCGCATGTGATTTATTTTTCCAACTGTCACCTGACAAAGTAGCCTTCCTTGCACTTATTATAGCACAAAAAGTTGCTAATTGCTGCAATTTACTTTCTTTTACCGCACTCTTTTTTTTGCCACACTCCAGTATTCCAACCAAACAACACAAAACAGCAAGGTTTTATTAGACACATAATAGGCCTATCTCGAGTGCAGCAAAGGCAGTTTGCACTTGTGTTACAAACTATATTTTTCTTACAGTTATTATAAAACATATAAATAAATAGTCTTTCAAACTCTGTTCAACACGTTTCTAGGTTAGGTTAAAACCAAATATTGGTGAAATGGTAAGCTGTACCATGGATAAAACATACTCCCTTAGGCTGTACCAGTTGATCGTAGTCGTAATATCTTGAATGGGTAGCCAAGTTATTTTCAAGTGTACGTATGTAGGCCCCTACTTTCCACACTCGCCTACGGCTCGTGCGTTTAAACATTTCTCTCATGTGTAGCAAAGTGCCACTTCGCCCACTAGTTACAATAGTTTTTGGTGGAACATGAGGATAATATATAATCTGTATGCAAATTTATAGTTTTTTATAACAATTTAAAACTAGGCCCCTACTTAAAATTTATTTGGATTACCATACATCTCGTAACATGTTGTTTTAATTAGGCTATAGCTTGCATTTTTGCAAATTGGGAAATAACAATGAATTAATGTTTGAAGCAATTTATTTTGTCCAAACCAAATTATTGATAAAAATTCTAATATTTATATTAACTTGACCCAGATTGCTAACAAATTTTCTTCTACTAGCTGTACCTATTTGAATATCGCAAATCTAGAAGGAGTCTACACTCTTGTATTATTTGTTAGACTAAAATTATTTGTATAACACTATTTTTTATTTTTTGCAATATTTCTGTACAGAGCTGTAGCCTACCAGTAGAATGGGGGCGTTGTAATTAATATCCTCCGACATTGGAGGATACAGGGGAGAGTTGCCAGAGGAAGAGGAGATGGAGGATGGGGCGAAGTAAAGACGAAGATTGAAGAGAACTAACTTATGGTAAGTTTTGCCATTTCCTTAAATTTAATACTTATAAATCCAGGGCCGTGTCCTGAAACCTATGTCGCATAACCCTCCTGAATTCCTAGTATAACGAGCATTTTAACTGGAGAGGTGCCCAAAATTTGCTTTTGTTTTTTAGGAAATGTAGGCTATATTTTTTGACAACATAATTATAATTAATTCTGAATATGACATAGTGTTTACATTTGGTAAGTACTGAAACAAAAATTATTTTAAGAGAAATGGAAAAGCATTGCCAATGGAAGCAGTTGAAACAAGTAGAACAATTCTGATAGATCAATAAGGTATTTAGTACGAGCGAGGTTCAATAAGTCCTTAGAAAAACATAGAATAACAGTTTTGGGATAAATTTGATTTATTTTGTTATAATCTCCTTTTATTTAGCTCTATACACTTATCTTAAAGTTTCTCCAACCTCCTTCAAATGCTGTTCAAATAAATAGTAAGTTACCCTACAAACTTGAAAAGCCTTAAAAATACTCTTCTGTTTCAGTGATGACCTCATCATTTGACATAAAACGTTGCCCAAGAAGCCAATTTGTTATCTTAAGAAATAAAAAAGGTCATTCAGGGCAGTTGACAAACAAAATTATTTGACAGTTTTCTTTGCCGCCCTGTCAATCCAGTGTTTGGCGGAGGGTGGTGGGAATAGGGGTGTTACAAAGCCAATGTGCGAACAAATTTTAGTAGCCATGGAGCTGTGGACAGCTGAGCACCATGTATTTTTGAAGTGGAAGTGTTTTTAACACGTTCACTGCGGGCATAGCCGATCGGATATGGGCCGAGCTGTGTTCAGGTGCTGCCGTAACAGATCAGATACGCTCAGCAATGCCTTTCGTATATCTTCGTTTTTCCTCTAGCGTCGGTCGAAGGCAGACCTATACTTTGTTACCGTGTAGTGAGTGACTTGCTTTTGGTTGTGTTGTAGGTTGGTAGACAATTTCCCCATAAAATCCCCGTCTGGCAAACTTAACAATCAACTTGGTGTCCCGACCTTCTCCCTCCTATTGGCAATACAATGGGACCGGCTATTCAATTCAATTCAATTCAATTCAAAACCACTTTATTCATTTCCTGTACATAATACATTGAATAGTGTCAACAGTTGTTTAGGCCTAATAGTTATGAAATACATTTTTAACATAATAAAATAAAAACAAAATTTTACAAACTTAATTTTTTTTTTAAGTCTAAACAAAAAATACATAAATTGAATTTGTTTTTGACTTCAAAGACTATTCAACTCTTCAAAAGAAAAAATAGCCTTGCTGATGAGAAATCTCTTTAATTTATTTTTAAATATTGTTTTGGAAGTCTCTGATTTAATTTCAATTGGGAGATTATTATAAAATTTTGATCCCGCATACATGGGTTTTTTCTCAAAAAGTTTTAGACTATGGTGGCCAATTGCAAGGTTTTCCCGATTTCTGGTGAAATAATTATGACTATCCCCAACTCGTTCCAAATCATGAAGTCTGTCCTTTACTGATAAAATTGTTTCATAAACGTACATTCCGTAAATTGTCATTATATTTTCCGATTTAAAATGTTCTTTATTAACAGAAGTTTCAAAATCTAAATTGCAGATAATTCTAATAGCTTTCATTTGCTTTTTTAGAATAGAATTCAAATTGTAATCACTAGTTGCACCATAAAGTGAAATCCCAAAAGATATACTTGAGTGGATATATGAAAAATATATAACTTTTAAAGTTTGTTTTTCACAAAACGGTTTCAATCTAGATAAAGCAAATAATCCCGATGTGATTTTGGCAAGTAACTTTTCAACGTGACTGTTCCATTTCAGATTTTTATCAATTACCAATCCCAAGAATTTCATGTTGTCCATACTTAGAATTTCTGTGTTCTCGAGTCTGATGATTGGTTTATTTTGATCACCTAATTCTCGAGTTTGAAAACTAATGAAATTTGTCTTATCTGGATTAAGAAGCAAATTATTCAAATTAA